TATATCTTTCTAGCTATATTTCTAAATTTCCTGGCGGACGTGTCCTCCTATCGGGCCCAGGATCACCGCCCGTGTCCATGATTACTACCAAAATGAGCTCAAATACAAGCTCAAGCGAGTTTATATGAGCTGAGGCCAAATGAAGAGCAAAATAAGAGTTGTGAAGCGGCCCCCCTACCGTTAATTACAAAATTGACTTTACAGCGCAGGGGCAGTTTTAACGTTTAACTTTGATTCCGTGGCTCGAAAGTTACTGTCACTAAGCGCCATTTCCTTGTCTTTCCATCTTTCTCACCCGACTCTCCCCCCCCCCCCCCCCCCCCACTCAGTGTTATCTAGGGTACGCGTACGTATTTCCCTCTGTTTGAAAGCACCCCTCTATCTCCGGTGTGTAAAGTCAGTACGGGCCGGATTTTTGTGTATTACGGGTCGGACTTTGTTGGGTGAAAAGTACTCCTTTACAGGAGATTTTGGGAACACGAGTTCTGTCCTTCCGACCCCGGAGTGGGAGGGAGAAAGGGGGGGGGGGCTTTCTTTTCCCCTCTCTCTGTGTTTCTTTTCTCTTCTTTCTTGTCTCTTTTCTTCTATTTTCTTTTTCTTCTCCTTTCTTATGCTTCTCCTTTTTTTTCTCTCTTCTTTTTTTCCTCTTTTTTCCCTTTTTTTTGCACCGCCAATAGGGGGGGGGGGGGCCGCGGCCGTTTCGGCCCCCTGGATCCGCCACTGAGTATGCCTGTGGTGTCCAGTGGCGTATCTGGCGCTTGTTCTCGTTTTGGAGGGGGGTGGGGGTGAGAGGGGAGCAAAAACGTATCTTTTCCCCCTTGTTTTTTCTTCTTCCTCTTTATTTTCTTTCCCTTTCTCTTTTTTGCTGAGGGGAGGGGGGAGGCAAGGGCCTTTCAATCCAAACCTTGTTGGCGTGCATTTTTGGTTATATGCAGACTGCGTACCTCTCTGCCCTGCGCGTATCCCGTGTATGCGCGTGTATCTGACACGAAGGCAATCTGAATGTAATCGAGAAGGCTCACTTGACTCCAACTTTAATTTATCTTTAATATAAGGAGTAAAGCATAATTTGTTGATTAACGTTCTATTAGATCTTCTTTGATGTTGTACAGTATAAAACAAATAATGAATGTTTTTCATTCGTTTAATAGTGCGAATATTTTCATTTGTTGAAAGATTAACATTAATTCTATTCAACTCATGAAAATATTTGTACTATTGAACTCATAACCATTCATTATTTGTATAATAATCCATGCCTGTCAAAGTCATGAAGTTTTGGGAAATTTTGAAAAATGGGTGGATAGTGAATCTTTACAATTTTGATATATTTGGATGCCCCTGTGGATGTGGATGTATTAAAAGCACTAGTAATTTTAACCCTTAAAACACTTCTGCTTTCAAGAAAAATTTAATATTAAGATTTACCAGTGCTCCCGGTAAATTTTAATAAATTTCAAATAGCTCCTACGGCCGTACAATGGTAGATGCGACCATATGTAGTTGTGGTATATAATTTCCGAACGGGAATAGCTTATCGGTCGATTTTAGTCAAGAAACATTGTTTTATAGCTTAATTAATATCTTGACCTTGAGAGGGAGCTATACAACATAAAGTGTTTATTATTTATAATTTCATAACTTTAGAGTCGATTTCGACCGCGACAACGATCAGTGAATATTGTAGGATCGCATATGCTTCCAATATGTTCATTTGAACCAAATTCACGACCCCATACCAAAACTTTGTATTACCTTTAAGGCTTGTGTAGCAGGATGATACCAAATCATCTAGACCTGTCAAAGTCACAAAAAGTAAACTTTATGTGCAAAAAGAATACATCATAATCATCATCTACCCTAATTGTCCCAGTCAAGACAATTAAGGCTTGTGTGCCAAAAAGACATTATTATCTACCCCTGTCCAAGTCAAGAAAATTAAGGCTTATGTGGCATAAAAAAAACATTACATGTATTATATACCTCTGTCCAAGTCATGAAAATTAAGGCTTGTGTGGCAGAAAGACATTATTATCTACCCCTGTCCAAGTCAAGAAAATTAAGGCTTGTGTGGCAGAAAGGCATTATTATCTACCCCCGTCCAAGTCAAGAAAATTAAGGCTTGTGTGGCAGAAAGACATTATTATCTTCCCCTGTCCAAGTCAACAAAATTAGGGCTTGTGTGGCAGAAAGACATTATTGTCTACCCCTGTCCAAGTCAAGAAAATTAGGGCTCGTGTGGCAGAAAGATATTGTCATCTACCCCAGTCCAAGTCAACAAAATTAGCGCTTGTGTGGCATAAAAAAACATTACATGTATTATATACCTCTGTCCAAGTCATGAAAATTAAGGCTTGTGTGTCAGAAAGATATTGTCATTCACCCCAGTCCAAGTCAAGAAAATTAAGGCTTGTGTGGCAGAAAGACATTATTGTCTACCTCTGTCCAAGTCATGAAAATTAAGGCTTGTGTGTCAGAAAGATATTGTCATCTACCCCAGTCCAAGTCAAGAAAATTAAGGCTTGTGTGGCAGAAAGACATTATTGTCTACCCCTGTCCAAGTCATGAAATTTAAGGCTTGTGTGGCAGAAAGACATTATTATCTACCCCAGTCCAAGTCAAGAAAATTAAGGCTTGTGTGGCAGAAAGACATTATTGTCTACCCCAGTCCAAGTCAAGAAAATTAAGGCTTGTGTGGCATAAAAACATTACATGTTTTATATACCTGTACCACTGTCCAAGTCAAGAAAATTAGGGCTTGTGTGGCAGAAAGACATTATTGTCTACCCCAGTCCAAGTCAAGAAAATTAAGGCTTGTGTTGCTAGAAAGATATTGTCATCTACCCCAGTCCAAGTCAATAAAATTAAGGCTTGTGTGACAGAAAGACATTATTATCTACCCCTGTCCAAGTCAAGAAAATTAAGGCTTGTGTGGCAAAAAGACATTATTGTCTACCCCTGTCCAAGTCCAGAAAATTAGGGCTTGTGTGGCATAAAAAAACATTACATGTATTATATACCTCTGTCCAAGTCATGAAAATTAAGGCTTGTGTGTCAGAAAGATATTGTCATCTACCCCAGTCCAAGTCAAGAAAATTAAGGCTTGTGTGGCAGAAAGACATTATTGTCTACCTCTGTCCAAGTCATGAAAATTAAGGCTTGTGTGTCAGAAAGATATTGTCATCTACCTCAGTCCAAGTCAAGAAAATTAAGGCTTGTGTGGCAGAAAAACATTATTGTCTACCCCAGTCCAAGTCAAGAAAATTAAGGCTTGTGTGGCATAAAAACATTACATGTATTATATACCTGTACCACTGTCCAAGTCAAGAAAATTAGGGCTTGTGTGGCAGAAAGGCATTATTATCTACCCCAGTCCAAGTCAAGAAAATAATGGGCTTGTGTGGCAGAAAGACATTACATGTATTATATACCTCTGTCCAAGTCATGAAAATTAAGGCTTGTGTGGCAGAAAGACATTATTATCTACTCCAGTCCAAGTCAAGAAAATTAAGGCTTGTGTGTCAGAAAGACATTATTATCTTCCCCTGTCCAAGTCAAGAAAATTAAGGCATGTGTGGCAGAAAGACATTACATGTATTATACCTCTGTCCAAGTCATGAAAATTAAGGCTTGTGTGGCAGAACGACATTATTGTCTACCCCTGTCCAAGTCAAGAAAATAAAGGCTTGTGTGGCAGAAACACATTATTGTCTACCCCTGTCCAAGTCAAGAAAATTAGGGCTTGTGTGGCTAAAACACATTATTATCTACCCCAGTCCAAGTCATGAAAATTAAGGCTTGTGTGGCAGAAAGACATTATTGTCTACCCCTGTCCAAGTCAAGAAAATAGAGGCTTGTGTGGCAGAAAGACATTATTATCTACCCCAGTCCAAGTCAAGAAAATTAAGGATTGTGTGTCAGAAAGACATTATTATCTTCCCCTGTCCAAGTCAAGAAAATTAGGGCTTGTGTGGCAGAAAGACATTACATGTATTATATACCTCTGTCCAAGTCATGAAAATTAAGGCTAGTGTGGCAGAACGACATTATTGTCTACCCCTGTCCGATTCAAGAAAATTAAGGCTTGTGTGGCATAAAAAAACATTACATGTATTATATACACTGCACACACAAAACCATCCACCCATGACACACACATACACAGAGCCATACACTGCCTACTACTTTGCTTACAAATACTACACACTAACAAGTCACACACACACACACACACACAAGTACTGTAGATGCGCATAGTACCTAGCTACCTGGATGTCAACTGTAGATGGCACTATTCCGTTTGGCTACTTGGACACAACCCCTCTCTAAAATTTGGACATTTATTTTGGGCCTTTTTTGGGGAAATTTTTTTCTTGTGTGACTAAATCTTAGTTGATTAGAAATGACATGTCAGACATCTTAGACACTGAATATGATAGTTTTCTTGTGTGGCTAGACACACAAGTCTAAAGTGACACACAAGGATATCTCATACGTAAAACTAAACACACAAGCATACCATCGCAAACTCGGACGGACGTACGGACGGACGGACGTACGGACGGACAACCCGAAAACATGATGCCTCCGGCACCACCTTCGGTGGCGGAGGCATAAAAATGGGGTTATATTCTACACTAGAAGTGCATAAAAATGGAAAAACATGAAGCAATAACATGTGGAGATATCTAGAGCTCTCTCTATCATGTTTCCTTAACGTGTACTTGGCAGGGAATTTAACAGAACAGTCCTAGATTATGTCATATATAATTATGACGATCAGTCGTTTTCTCCTGCAGCATTTACTCAAAGCTTATTTTATCAAAGATGGAGAGTTTGGCTGAAGGTTGTAATCTGGGGTCAGGTTAGGTATGATATGTGGTCCAGGGTGGAATTTAGGGATTGGTCAGGGTACAAAATTGACCACTGGATGATTTTCGCCAGAGCACGAGTTGTAGAACCACAGTCATCCACAAACTTGAATTTGATAATTAACTTACTTTTGTCTATCTGCCTTATAGCTGGTAGTGAGTTCATCAAATAGCTTGCTATTCATCTCCATCAGTGTCCTGAGTACATTGTAGACCAAGGCAACAATAGTTCTGAGCAGAGAAAGAGATTAGAGTTGGAAATGTAGACATCAACACAAAATACTCAAAATGTGCAATCAACTTCCTTTACTAGGACACCCTATGAACTGATGAACAGATAAATTTAATCTTAAATCCATTTTTATGGACAAAGTCTCCTCCTTTGCCAGTAGAAAAAGGGGAAAGGGAATTCAAGTACCCAACTTCACAAGTTCACAACTTCAGAAGCTACAATTATCCATAAAAGACTTTTCAAAACTCTACAAATGATTGCACCTGTACCATATCAACAGCTTACACGGTGAAATAACCTTCCTTTTATTCTATTTTATCACCCACTAGACAGTGCTTCCATGATCTTACAGCGAACCCATGCGCATGTGTGGCTGAAGAATTATTTCACCACATACTGTACATACAGTATAGAGCCAGAAAACCTTCCATGTCAGTCATGTGTTATCTTTGTAGATTTACATGCATTTACATGGAGAATGTTCAAACCACAATTGCTTTTCCCATCATAATTGCTGGTTGTCCACAGCAAATGCAAATTACAGGTCATTGAATTAAGTACAATATTATTTAAATCTGTATAGTTCAGAGAGAGAGAGAGAGAAGGGGGGTGGGCACTCCTACAATGGAACTGATATGCAACTAGAAAGCCTCGATGTATATTACTGAAGAAAATAAATTCTTAACAAATGTTGCAATCTACTAACAGCAAGAAAAACCTCTTTCAACTGACACCATGATATTTGAAGACATTGATAGTTTCATCATGCTTCCATTAACAAATACCTTAGGTTCAAGGAAGGTCATGTATGAAGATATCACATACACAATGAACTGTGTAATATACATATAGAATGGTAGTTTGGAAGCAATGTCAATGCTCAGATTACAGGTTTACAAGAAAAATAAATGGGGATGGATTACGAATGATTCCATCCCATAAAATGTAAAAAAAGGTATTATTTAAAGCTAGATATTCAAATTGCATGGCTTTTAGAACACACTTATTAACTATCCATGAATTTTCTCCACATTATTTAAGTTATTCAAGTTATTCTAACATCAAAATATACAGCTTTGTATTACCTGCTTCATGGTAATTTCTAGACATATCTAAAATAACACTGAGCTTTTTTTCCTGTAATTAGAATTACTGTAATAGAGCTGTTGAATGGCTTATGACCATGCATTGGATTGTCTATACAAATGATAATGATCCCTGATGATGCATTAGGATTAATGTGCATCCTGCTAGTGCAAGAGTTCTTTCCTGTTCTGTCCTTATACCTCAAAATGCTTGCTTATTCAGTCACAGTGACTAATTCAAAATCACATAACAATCTAAGAGAACATTTAAATACACGAAATGGATTGTGTTACTATTGATCATTAGGTCAAGAAGTAATAGTGGTGATTAGATAAGAAGTGATATTAGTGACATTGTATTATCTACCTTTAAGTACTCAGTGTAGTTAGGTACGCGAATGAACTTTTCACTATGCTTCGTCTCTTACCATCAACTAATCCAGCAAGTGCTTTGTAGAGTGTCCTCTCACGCATATTCTTGGAGGGAATGCAGGATTAATTGGGGATTAAATACTGATAGGGTAGGAGAGGTAAGTGTTAGTGGACTTACTGATTCCAGTGGTCTTTGGATATCCTGTAGAGATTGGTGAACATAATGGGCATGATAGCCTGGATGTTCTCCTCTATCAAGCTCACTACGTACTCGTTATTCCAGAAGTACAGGGCACGTTCTGCAACCTGGAAAAAAATGGACAAGTTCAGAAAATTTATATTAAAAAAGTCTGACATTAATTTCAAAATATAGACAACGTTTTCATTCCAGGAAAATTGAGTAAAGGGACGAAAAACAGAGGCATCTATATCATTAGAATAGTAGTTGGATGACAGGGAATCTCAATAATTTCTATAAAGACTTAGTTAACAATATTTTAGAATTGCAGAATCATTTGCTTTTAGTTAGATGTTTCCACAGGAATTTTCTACGAACTAGAATATGTTGATGGGGGTCAATTTGACCACTTTTTCTAGCATCAGGCACATTTTGTAAATAGAAATAAGGCCAAACAAATCTCCTTTCCTGATAATAATGATTGACAAAAATTACATCTGACCAAAGGTGACTATAAATAGTCAGTTTGGGCCAAGAAGTTGCCAAAATAAACCAAAGGTCATGAGTAGGGTTAATAACACTCTTAAAGAAGAAGCCATTCAAACTTTCTTCACAAAACAATCAGATTAAATCCCCTCATCTCCTAGGGTGATAGCAATGCTGCAGCTAATATTTACGTCGACCTTTCCTATAAAACATCACATGAAATTGACTAAACACTGGTGTCACTAGATGGCACTGTGCATTGTGAATCCGCCGTAGTGATCAAGACATACATACCTGGAAGTGTGGACTTGCAACACACTTTGCTAGCTGCCTGAAGAGCATTTCTTGAATCTTGACAAACTGTGAGGGTTCTATCACATCTAAAATCTCCTCAATTTCACCAAGGAACATCACCTAAGAGAAAAATTAGCATAAAAAGGTAATAATAACATGTTAGGCATAATTCAAAGCTTTAATGAATAGCGATCCTCTTTATGTCATCCAAATTATTGGAGAACTAAAGCTAGTTTCAAAATCTTCTATTTCAAAATTTATTATTTAATGTATGTATACTTTGCAGTTACACTTTTCTTGGACATTTTCTTTTCTCTTATACCAACCATCTTCACAGTTTCATTGAACGATTCTTCTTGCCATCCCTAGCGTTCTCTTATTCAATGTGATCTGAGACTTGATTCAATTACATTCGATTTCACTCAGGCCAGCCTTCTAAAAGAAGTAGCCTCAACCTGGTCACATGAAGAATTTAGAATGTCTGTAACATGAGATGGTTTGCTTGACTCTTGCTCTATATTTGGACAAGGAAAAATCCATATATGTGCCAACAGGTTGGTGAAAAGAAAAGGAAATAGCTGCCAAATCAATAATTGACTGGGAGCTCTCAAATATAAAAAGAAGAGAATAGAACAACATTCTTAAACAATTTTTTTTTCTTCCAACTCTAATTTTTGTAAATACTTTTCTCAAGCATAAAGAAAGTAGAAACAATTTTTAAACATACGAGCATGATAAGAGCAAACAGAAATAATAGAACTTTGATAGAAATTCAACAGATTCAGGACCGAAACTGCCAGGGGCGGTATTCTGACAACCCTAGTATCTCAAATAACCTTGTTTATTCACCACTAAAACAAAATTGGTATTCTGAACAATCTTGCAACTTTTCTTGTAACTTTTCTCTCTTTCTTTTACCTCATGCTCAAGATCTCACAGAAGAAACGTTTGAAGAATCTACAGACTGGGGTTCAATGATTTCATATCAATATGTGATTCGATTCGAGTGGGAGAGGAACTGTTTTGTTTGGAAATATGCGCAACTTATTAATTGTGCCAAAAATGAATATACACGCAAAGAGCATCTATACCTGTGTTTCCTAAGGGGTGCTTCTAGTGGTTGACCTATTTATATAAAATCTATTTTGATTAGTAAGGTCTCAAAAGTTGGGCGTGTCAGAGATAAGATACAGGTAGAACTTTTTGATAATTTTGATAATACCAAATAACATGTACAAGAATTTTAGCACACTATTATCTCTGGAGGATACAAGAAAACTTACAAGAATTTTCAAAATACCACCCTAAGTTTTTTTTTACTTCAGATATCTTCTTTCAATGACTGCAACCACGTTTTAGGCAAAAAACTATGAATGAATTATGAAGTCACTCCCTGTAGAACATATTTGTGGTTAAATTGCAATGATTTCTTTAAATCCCTAGGATGAGAAGTTTGGTTTTCAACCACAAATGAGCTTCCTTCTGACATACAATATTCATTGCACTTTGATGCAACCACAGCTTTCCCTAGATTTAGCAGATTTGCTTTTGATAATCCTACTCATAAAATAGAGATGATAGTAACAATATATTATGAGAAAATATTGGTTATTTTAGTATATTGTTTAGTGACTTGCTGAACATAGCAACAACTACCACATGAAATCTGCATTCTGACCATTGAAATACAATACAAATCACAAACAGGCTCTCAGCAGGGAGGTCTTTGTTCAAAAAGATACATGCACGAAATCTGCCATTTCATATAGTTGACATACATGTAAGTCAGAGGACTCATATCACAACCTTTGTCGAATGTTGACATACATGATGACTAATGCTCGGGGTCTTAATTTAAATATATAAATGTACATGTACATTTATGAATTGTTTACATCATAATAATTATACCCTAAAATAATGCTATACGCTTTCTTAGTCTTCCAGAATTCTTCTTTGCATACTCCATAATGAATACCTTAACAATTATCCAATAAATAATAAAGCTAAGCTGCATGTAGGAGTTCATACAGTTCTTGGTCCCTTGCCATTAAAAATTATATACATTATTCCACGTACACAGTTTTGTGTGATCATCCTGCACTCAAAATGAGATGTATAAAAAGAAAGAAAGTATTCATGTTTGGACATTTCATTCAGAAAACGATTCTAATGACATGAATACTTAATACTGTTATAACACAAGACCAAGGTATATGGTACTCACCTCTTTTGCACTACACGTCTTTGGCCAGAATTTTAGTAATCCCCCTACAACCTGCAAGAAGATAGAATAATACAGCAGAGATAGGATAGAATGAGAGAAAGCGTGGGAGAGATAGCGGGGGAGAGTAAGAAGAATACATCAAGTCAAGTCTTTATGAATAGACCTATACATTGAATCTTCTACAGGCAAAGGATAGTATAATGTCAAAGAAGACTATATTTTTCAGTATAAACTCTATAAAGATGTTATGTCTTCAAATTAATCACATTGAAACATTTCAAACAGAAAAGACAAACACTATTACTATCTTTACTCATAACGACCCACCATTTTGATCAGAAGGAATCTTAATGGACTACTTTGCAAACCATGTTCCTTTTAAATTGTACAATATCCATGATCTTTATTTACTTGTAAACATGGGGATAGTACACATCAATTCAATATTCAAGAATTCATCTGCAATTCAAAGAGATAAGAAATATAAATGATTCTTTGACAAACATCACATCTGCAGCAAAATGTACATCTATGGATGCATTACATTTTACATAAATAAATGAGGATAGAAGTACATGTTGCCTTGATTTGCATGTAAGCAGTACACTGTGCCGGTATTACAGGCATACACGCAAAGCCTAGTGCATTATGAGATAGCCGACTGACATAATGAAAATTCCCACTCACTGCCTCCCCTCTTTCCCTTTTTTTCACTTCACTTTATTACCGTTGCTGGCTGAAGTTGACTATGCTCAGGCTAGCCTAGCTCGATCCAAGACAAAGATAGTATAAAAGAAAGATAGCGACTGATGCTGGAGTGTTGAGTGTTAGGTTTCACTGCACACAAAGCTAGAGAAACCCACTTAAAGGCATGCGACACATCTTTATCATCAAGACTGCAGTCCAATCAAGCACTTGTTTGAAAGATGATCGAGACAGGTTGATGGAAATTTCACGAATGTTTTTTAATCTTTCATAGATGAAATTCAAAGGTAAGTGTGACTGAGTGTGGAAATAATCATGGAAAATGCCCTCACACAGTAAATTGCATCAAACTAAAAAGATTAATTAAAAAAAAAAAAAAAAAAATGTTTTCATCAAATTCTTTTGAAGGTATTGGCCAATTCAACACAGATGCATCTCCATCTTTAAGTTGCACTGCAATTCCATAGGATTGAAATGCTACCTGGATTTCATTTTAATCAAACCAGGGTTCTTCTGACCTACACATTGTACACATTGCATACACTGATGTACTCCAATAAAGGGAAGTGACACCCATTTAAAAAGAATGAACTTTGTACTGCATTGTAGTTTGTACAATATATTTTCATAATATGAAGTTATCTCGGCCAGTAGTCTATAAATAATGCTTACGTAAGCATAATGCTAAGCAAAAAATTCCAAAGAAATTCCTTGTCTTTTTTTGCCTTACTGTAACTACATGTTGTAACTACATAGCAATGCTGGATTTTAAATCACCTCAAAACCTTTTTTATTACTATAGAACTTTTGCTAGTTCAGGCATGCTATTGCATTATGTAACATGGTTTTAATGCACAGATTATGTGCAACCAGTAACAGGAAGGGAACATAAACTCTAAGTCAATAACTCAATACCTTGCTTAAATGCCCAGTTCCAGCTAGCTGGAAATTGCAAAGATGAACTATATTTACAATGAATAGGTCCTACTATTTACTATCGAGTAGTAAGCCAGTGCCTTATGTGCATTATTGCACATTATATTTTCATATAATCCCTTCTAAAAAACATACATTCTCTAATTTACAACCAAGAAAATTGAAACTTGTAGAAGTATTAGTAAAATAGAAGAACCGGGAGAGCGAGGTCCTTACAAGGTAAATTCCCCACTTGTCAATTTGCCTCTGTACATGATTCCTCTCTTTGTTTATCTGACTTTCCTCACATTTTCACTGACCTCATTTTCTGCTTTGGGAATTCACATAATATATTATATAATCTAAAATCTGGTTTCCATGCATGTTCTCATATTAGGATTTCATGATTTATGCGTTTCCTTAGACTGCCTTACACCATTCTAATCTGTAGGTTAATATCTTTTTTAAAATACTATTCTCTGTCTTACAGTAATGACCCTAAATGTTATCCTACAGTACAGCTTCTCTCATTTCCAATTTATTGCATCCGGTGTATAAATAGGGTACCCTGGGAACACTTTACGCAGGTGATTCTTTTGTTCTACAGCTACTACGTTTACACCAGTATCCTGTTTCTATTTTTATTTTTAACCTTGAAAACAAAGATTGATGAATATTGATCAACCAATCCACCACTTGAATATGTGAAGTGCACTCTACACCGTGGCTGTAAACAGGCATGTCATGTTCACTATAGACAACTTAAAATTATTTCCTCTTGCATTCAATGTTTTTGAAGATAACTATAGGCCGACAAACTTATATCTACATTAGGCTGCTTTCCTTCCTTTTATCTATGCAAGGACATTTATTGTATTTTTATTTCTGTTATTTCCTATAGATATCTGCAAGGAAACTCCATAGAGCTTCTTCTATTGTGTGCTGTTTACGAAGACTGTTTTGTGTAGATTCACTAGAGTGTATATCAAGATAGGTTTTACGTCGCAAGACGTCAGCAAGGCTTTTGAGAGCAGAGTTTTCAAGAACCACTATCTCAAGCTAGCCGAAGAAAAGGGCAACTTCAGCTTGCATGTATTCTCTCCTTCTCACCTGGCCATATCGCATTGCCGGAAGGCATCAATTCTGCTCAACGTGTACGTACTAAGTCTATCCTAGCTTAGACTTATAACTACCGTATATGCTCAAACTTTATCGCAGTACACTCAAGTTAATTAAATAAATGGGTCAGAAAAGGTTAACATTTGACAGGAATAGACAGCCCTCTAGAAGACACACATTCAGACAATTTCAATATTGTTTTATGTGAATTTTAGTTGATGACTTGAATCAATTCCTCATATTTCTTGAACTTTTGAATTCCAAATAGAAGCTCTTAGACTCATCTACATGGCATTACTAAAGAGATACTGAGTGGTTTTCGTAAAATAAAGATTACAATATAAACACTAGCTTTGAAATAAAGTACTTGATTGAAAAATAAAATAAGAATGAAAAAAAGTTCCCCTCTTTGATGATTGTGTAATGTCTAGAAGAAATTATCTGAATTTTCAAACATATGATCGGAACAATGAAGACTCACAAATAGGATTATGATGTATGAACTAACAGCACGTTTAAAAGTGATTTAAAAAAAAAAAAAATTAAATGCCACAAAATATTTTCATTTTGGCAAATTTGGACTATATCTAGTCTGTAAGTGTAAGTGTAAATGTCTCCATTTCATGCAAATTCACTCATCTGATCCAATGACAACTTTGACACTTTAACACAAGGAAAGCCTTTTCAAAAGCTCAAATAGTACCTTTATATTAACAAACATGAATGCATTTCTTTGATTGCTTTTTGGGATATGAATCTGAAAGTAGATTACGGAAATAATTGTTCGCTTCATTTGCCAATTACGAGGGAGTTAGATTTCATGGAAGTGGTTGTCACTCAATTGCACACAAAGGGATAGCACAAGCAGTGGATACCTGGTTTCATGAAAAAGGCAATAACCAGTCCGTTCTAAGATACTATGCATCTTTGATATGCCATAAGTGTATTCAAAGAGGACTGGTTCACTATAGTTATCTTATCAGGTCAAGGGCTTACTCCATGAAAAGATATTATATGCAAGCACTTTAATAGGATTCACTCTTCATTTATGCCTTAACTCTTTAAGTACTCCCATTTATCCATCTGATGACATTTTATATCTTTTTATTAAAAAAAAAAAAAAAAAAAAATATTTTAATTGTTATTGTCTCTGAAATTTTTTAATACAATGAACTTAATTGTGAAGGAAGTGTTTTACTTAAAAAAAACATCAACAACGAAAAAGAAATCACACTTTTCTACCTAATAAAAATGATTAAATTCATTAGCATCAATGCACATCAAGAGATTTTAGTTTGTCACGATTGTTAGAAGGAAATGCCATTTGGAATTATTGTCTGAGTGGCAGATTCCATTTTTATCCACACTAATTGTCCAAACAACCCATGTTGGTAAATAACAGATTGCGCCTTTCTTCAATTGTATAGGCATTTAAAAAAATTTAATCCATAATAACGATATTCAATCAAGATGAAATTGAACCAATTGTGATGTAGCCATAATGAAAGTAAGCAAGGCTGTAAGAACCTATGCCTCAACAAGAGATGCACATGACATCTCCCCCTCTGGCTACAGTATTGATTCTCGCTTGAATTGTGAATGCAATAACACAGCCTGAGCTGTAGCACGTTGGCACTAATTTGACCGACACACAGATTCCGGCGCCATATACATATGTGCACCATTGAGCATTTGATGCATGCATGCATCTACGCATTTACAGCGTGGTGTGCATTTTACATGTAGCCCTTTGGAGATAGCTAATGTGTGTGGAGATATTTAGCGTGCAGATGCTACCATGTTATGAATGTGTGTATGTACAAGAGTGCATGTATACTTCGCAGGCATTTTTGAGATTTTTGTTTTTTTCTTTTGTTTTTAATTATCTTTACCAGTAACTGAATGTATGACAATAAAACTGTTTGACCATCTTCATGTACCAGTATACTTAATTCAACTGCATCATGAATGACAAAAATGCTGGTAGAAAACTATATTGACCATCCCCAAATTCTCAGCTTGCACATAAATGTCAAGAATGGTAGTGGTCGTTTACGTCACAATGCCGTCATTTTGAGGGTACTCGTCATTTTGAGGAGTAACCGTACAGAATGTAAAAGAGTAATAAATCTATTTGAAATGATGAGATGTTTTCACCCTAATTCTAAGTTAGCCAGGGTTCAAAGGTGGTGGTCTCTCACGAAACATGAGACACAACGCTGAAGTCCATTGAATATCACGACATGATCCATAATAAATCATATTGAAGCTTTCCATTTGAGAACTGAATTGAAAATATCAATACGAAAGTGAAGTCCGTGGCTAAATCTGGCCATATACATGTATCTGGAGAAGTGCTAATGAGAGTTTAAGTGCTAATTGGTAAACACAAAATAGTGCTAATAAAGAAACCAGATGTGAGCCTCGAAAAAGCACCATTTGCAATTTTTGAGGAAATGCTCTGCAAATGAGCGCCTCTTAATAAGTTTACATTTTTAACTTAAAATGTAAATATATGTAAAGAATAAAATTGACTGTTTTGATCCTAAGACAATTACAGATTCCTAAAGAGGACTGATCTGTCTATCATGCAACAAACCTGCTCCGGGAAGTCATAAATGGTTTATTTAAAAAAGAAGACAGATGTACTGTGGTTCAAACCTAGAGCACACAGCATAACGTTCACTGTTAGAACAAACATATCCCAGTGGAAATGAAAGATTTATAATGACCACAATAAATCCTGCCTCTGTACCATCTGAATACATGTTTTTAACATTTTAGCGAACTGGCCATTATACTCTCATTTTAGTAATGAAGTTTTCAACACATAATTAATAAGTCATTCAGTCACAGTAGGCTTCTGCATAATTATAGGGTATCAGCCTTCCAAATATCTGACCTAAAGGATGATGGCCTGGCCCCTGGGTAGGTCACCAATTAAAAAACTGGACAGACAAGCTGTATAGCATGGCACAGAGGTTATTTAATCGCTACCGGTATTTCTCTTTGGCATATATCTCCTTGCATAATTCATGTTGACTGTGCCAGTTACATCTTGGAATTATGGATCAAATTACTGACAGACAAGAAACCCTCTTGGGGTCTCTACCATGGCAAATGTAATTAAACTCACATTTCAACCACAAAGACTGTGTACAGGCAAAGGAGCCTTGTTTATATTTATCGTTAACAGTTTTCTGCACCTTGCATCTCCATATCTACTCTTGGCTCTCCCCAACTCCGTTTGAATGACCTTTCAATGATAGACAAATACTGGTATTCCACAAGGGCATATATCCTTTCATCTCCATTGCAACACAGCAACTCTACCAATCCTTTTTCTCATATTGTGAGCAGCTTTTATGCACTGCTGCATCAAAGGCAAAAGAGTATCTGATCATTTCTGGGTTGACATTTTCTAGCTAGTATGAAATGGACAGCAGAATTACATTCCTTTCTCTATTGATGTAGTTTGTGATTTCTCTAGTTGAGCACTGCCCCGTTGGTATCATGAGTTTCAACAAAAAAAATAATGTGCAAAACCCTCTTCAGAATGGTACATCTCCAGAACATGATCTGGTCAAACAGTATATTACAAGAAAGCCTGTTATCAGAAAGATTATGTATGTCAATAATGTCATAATAATTTTACTTAAAAATATTATAGGACTATGTCTTCAATTTTAAACATTTTTATATATGATTTTGATTAATACAACCCCTTAATGACATAGGGAGCAAATCCCACCCAGAAATATTGATAATGTACATACTATAATACTTAAACTATGCACGGTAATATTATTTTCCTTTGAACAGAAATTGATAAATGCATTGTGGAGTTTATACACTTGAGAAATGCATTGTGTGCCAAATTTAGCAATGAAACTAATACATCAAACTGAAAATGTGTCTCTTGAAAAATTAATTTATGAAATTTGTTCATTGTCTTGGGGGCACAGAAGGTGTTGAGATATAATCCTGTTGAAAAGGTCAAGTGTGTAACAAACATGTAAATCTTACCTGTTCTGTGAGAGCTGCATCTTTCTCTAGGAATTGCACCACACAGTACGCCAACTGAAAAAGAAGCAAAACGGTCACCAAAAAAATTAAAGAAATCATAATAGGGTCATAGGAAATTTTAATAGACGTTAATTAGATGCCTCCTGCTGACTTCTGTACAACTGATAGGTTTCTATAAATGTCCACAGAAACTTCAACATTGGAGAGCACATTACATTGGATACGCATGTCCTGCATCCTGCATGGGGGGGGGGGGGGCATTTAATATTACGGAATACACAAGTTGAAAGGACACATATAACATGCAAACAACATGTTTGTAAAGATAACCTACTCTGTATGAATGTTTGTTAAAACAAAGATAAGAATAAGAAGCAAGGGTTCCAAAGGAGGAAACTATAATACAAACAAAATACAGCTACAGGCCAAGGAGGAAATGGCAAGCATGAACATGTACTTATATCATCACACGTAAAGATGGAATGATAACAATGACATTGTCCCAAGAGAGTGAGCGGATGCTATCCAGGAATCTTCAGCCAACTGTCATCACTTGTTCATTGGGCTAAATAGTAAATTGATGTGAAGCACTCAGCAGGGGCCCTAGCTGATCAGCAGCAGATTTACATTCTCACACATTGAGTGTGCTTGAAACAAGAATGAGATGGTCCCTGCAGATTAACTGATTTGCCTCCTGGTGCTCTGACAAGCATACATCTATTTTTAAGAATTATAAATTCATCACGCAACATTATGCTATAAGCAGTAGGTATGCAGCCCATGCAAGTTGGTATTGTAAATTTTAAAAATACCTACATTCATTCTAAAGGTTATTTCAGGTTCATAGAACTCTTGCAGTGAATGTTTTCTTTCGACTAAATCATTTTGGACTTACAGCAGTTCAGTTTCATTTGAGGCAACGTATCATATTCACAATGTATATAACGTTCCCCAAACAGCCATATATATTAGATGGCAAACCACTCGTAACAACTACAAAGGTGAGAGATATTACAAGTACATCAAACCTGCCAAACAGGCAGGCAGGCAGGCAAAGAGGATCTGGATACAGATGCATCCTGATTCACTTGCACAGTTCATTCACGTTCCAGGATGCATCCTGCCTGGTGTACATGCATCCTAGAACGCGCCTAATCAACCAGATGCTATAGAAATACCCTCTACGCATTACCCGGCCATATAACGGGGGACAATTGATGAATGTATTATTTACAGTGGTATGGTTTTAGGGACCCCTGAAATGAACGTGGTTATCTACTTTGCTTGGTTTGTACATAATGACACCTCGCTGGAGTTGTGCTTTTCCATGGGGAGTATTGTGAGGTAAAGGTTACCGCCCATGATTCTATATATCTGCCTAATTACATGTATCTCGCATCTCCTATCTGGGTGCCATAGTTATGTAATCAACCAAAACTCTTTCAAATGAAATTATTCATAACAATATGCATCACCATCATCATCTCTCTCTTTCTCACCCTCTCTCTTATCTTGGTATCTACAGTATATATATATCTTTTAGCCTTTGATCATGAAAAGGGAAATGATACAATTTTGACAATATTTCAAAACTATAAATTCCAATATCTAAACGAAACATATGACATAAGAGCAACAATTTAGTTGACTGACGTATGAAACTAACTATCTATTGCTATTTTTGTTCTAAGCACTGTAGGGAACTTCTCCAGGAAACTGTCCCCCATTTGCCACTGTCAATACACCAGGCGTCCTCACGGATAAATGTCAAAATATGCACAGCGATAGTTCACTGTTCCTTTCCCCCGTCCCATCCCACTGGCGTTATAACATGTCATTCTCAGCACACACGCAAATGCAGGCCTCTCACGTGTCAGGCAGCTTCCCGTCGCAGAGTAAACACCAACTGCTCTGACTGAGAGAACGCACCATTCACATGACTATGTGCGCCTTGCTAATGTTTACAGACATAAATGCGACATGGATAGGAAAGAAAATGATCTGCCATGAGCAGTACTGCAGGGGCCGATGGGTAAAACATCTGGTAAGATTCTCTGAATCTTAAGCGAGCAATTAAATGTGCTAACCCATCGCCTAATTGAAAACTCAAGCTGCTGAATGACGCACTCAGCCTCATTTGTGGCGATCAATTAGCTACACCAAGTTCAGATGCCGTTTCAATTCTGTGGTCCTCACAAGTGAAATAATACAAGAAGAAAAAATCCATAACATGGTTGTATTACTTGTATGTCCCTGTTACCCTTTCATTTCCTTTTGGTAAAATATATTCCTAAGATTCAAAATCGAATTCCACCACCAAAATACATGCAAATGGATTACTGTAGAAAAATCTTGTTATATTTATCTTTTTCTACTGTAACACTTCACAGAAAAAGACATCCCATCCAAATGTCATTTATTATTGACGTATATAAAGTGATAGATTGGCTTCATGAGAAATAGAATAACTTTTACAACATAAGAAATGAGGGAAGCATTCTTGCATGCAAATCGCCGACTTTCAAAACATAAAAGAACAATATTGCACCAGTCAGCAAATCACACATGGCAAGGTGAGCCAAAAATGAATATGACATAGAGTAGCTTCAGGAATGCCAAATTTATGTCTCATTTTTCATTATGTGCTCTCTCAATTTATCCATTTTCAACAAATTTGATTGATTTGATTGATCCTTCACTACATATGAATATAAAATATTATTACCCGTATCAGACATCTGAGCAGGTCATTTACAAAACCGTATTGCCCTAGTTTTCACTGGCAGTGGGAACGGAGGGGTATATTCTTTGTATTTTCCTTGGTCTCCCTGCTCGTATTGACTTTGCGTGTAGAGACGAGTGAAAATATACCTTGGTATTTTCCACGGTCTCGCATCCGGGCACTTGAGGGCGAAGACAATAAAATAAAGAAATCATTACTCCCACACACTGCGGGCCGGCTTGCAATTCAGTGAATCGCCATAGAGATTACACGCAAAATCATAGCGCAGCGCAGACGTTCATTCGCTCGAGTTGATCGGCGAAGCTGGCGCTGCGTGGGAATCTGTCTTTATTTCGCTGATTGTCGATCTTTCGCCTGGTAAACAAAAACAAACATGGCAGCCTCCACTTCCACTAGATTCGCGAGTTTAGAAGAAGAGGAATACGAACAATTACTTCAAAACAAGGATACGTTCAACACTAAAAAGTCAACTAAAACATCGGTGACGGTTTTCAGGGAATATTTGGCAGAGAAGGGCCATGATTCAGATTTCCAGCTTCTCGGTAAGAGTGAATTAGCGGCGTTACTGGCAAAGTTTTATGTTGAGGTACGACGAACCGACGGAACTCACTACAAAACAAGTTCCCTGCACAGTATTCATGCTGGTATAAACAGATACTTGAAATCAGAATATCATGAAGTTATAGACATCATCAAAGATATTGAATTTACACATTGCAATGTTGCTTTCAAAGCTGCCAAAGTAGAACTGAAAAAAATCGGAAAAGGATTTGTGCAACATCATGATTCCATTGCATCTGGGGATCTCCAAAAACTGTACTCATCAACTGTATTTGACCAAGACACACCCAGTGGCTTACAAGCTAAGGTTTGGTTTGAGATTGCTCTTTATTTTTGTAGGAGAGGAAGAGAAAATTTGCGTGAACTCAATAAAGACCATTTCAAGATCGAAACAGATGAGAATGGACATGAATTTGTCACTCAAAATGTAGACGAGATGACGAAAAAAACACGGGAGGACAATCTCTCTTCACGAACTGATGGTGGGCGTATGTATTCAACTGGCAGGGCTGATTGCCCTGTTGCGTCCTTCAAGAAGTATCACTCGAAGCTTAGCGAGAGGGGTGACGCACTTTTCCAGACCCCAAAAACTTTTACTCCATCCTGTGGACCGTGGTACAAAAAGACACCTCTTGGAAAGAATAGTCTCGGTAACAAGATGGCAACCATTTCCAAGAAAGCTGGTCTGTCTAAAGTCTACACAAACCACTGTGTTAGAGCCACATGTATCAGAATCCTTGATACTGGAGGATTTGCAAGTAGGGATATCTGTCAAGTGTCAGGACACAACAATGAAGGCAGTCTGGCTTCATATACTGGCCGTGTAAGCAACGATAGAAAGTGTGAAATGTCGTCTACTCTGGCACAGGCCCTTGGAAAGAAGGAAACTCCGTTGCGAGCTGCGATAACAGTGCCACCCCCACCCGCTACAGTCACTATGGCCTCATCTTCTAATGCTACCAATACGAGATTTGCTGTTGCAGCTCCACATGCTGTTCCTACTCTGTTACTAGAAGTAGAAGAAGAAGATGACCTTGAAGTTAACTTTGACTTGTGTTCGCAGTTGTCCTTTGAGTTCGAACGTGAAGAAACCAACGTTATCCAGCATGAAGTAGCAGTCCCTGCACCAGTAAATGCTGTCTTGCAACCAGTTGTGGACAATCAGCAAGTTGCCGCGGGATCAACGATAACAACTAGTAGCAGATCAAGTAGGATGCAGGTACAACAATCACCGTTCGTATTTAATAACTGCAATGTCACCATCAATTACTTCAAGGACTAAACTTGAGCATGGAGATTATGTACATATGTTGAGTGTTATAACAGTTTGAACATAGTTTTGGATTTCTGTGTTTCGCCAGTTTTCAGGAAAAGTTCTTCCTATGGATATTGCTTGTTTGGATGTTTTGACAGTTTTGAAACTTTACCGTTTGGACAACTTTTAGTAGAGATGTCTACTTACCTGTACACTGTACATGTGTGATAAACCTACATGTAGTCTATGTCAAAGAGTTCAGCATGACAAATTAGGTAAGATGATGTTAAATTTTCAGTTATGTATTTGCTCTAGATGTCTGATTTGGATAACAATAATAATATTGACTGGCTTAACTTTCGGGGTATATCAGAAATATTGACCGCGCTAAGACCATATTGCCCTCGTCTACGACTCGGGGCAATATGATCTGAGCTTGGTCAATATTTCTGATATACCCCTCAAGGCCAGTCAATATTATATAATTATACAAACGATGAATGCTTATGAGTTCAATAATGCGAATATTTTCATGAGCTGAATAGAACGTCAGCCTCGTTGAATAGAACGCTCATCTTTCAAATCATGAAAATATTCACACTATTGAACAAATGAAAAACGTTCATTATTTGTTTTATATAACATCTAAGTAGATCTAATAGAACGCTAATCTTTCAAAGAATTATGCTTTTCTCCTTATATTAATAATAAATTAAATTTGGAGTGAGGCCTTCTTGGTTACATTCAGATTGCCTTCGCATCAGATGCGTGCAGCTAAGACAATGAAAACAATGGGAAATGCGCAGGGCTGAGAGGTACAGACTTTTTTGTTGTTGTTGAACAGAGAAAGTTGATGCTGGTATGAACAACCTCATTCCAATCCAAAGTTTTTCACTACAAATATATTCTGTATAGCCCATTGCCATGCTTTGAAAAATAAACGTCATATGAAAAGGCTACGGTATCGTTTTTCAAAGGTAGAAAATTGATAGACCCCATTATGTGATTAAATGCAACTTAAATGTCAATCCACCTTATTACATGCCTTTACGACGTAATACTGCTTAAAGCTCTTAATATCTTCACACATTTGACGTAATACACATAATGATGGAAAACATCCTCGGAAAAAATACAGAATACATGTCAATATTATAGGTAAGTTTAAAATGTAGACCAGGGCCCTGTCTTACAAAGAGTTGATATTAATTGCAACTATGAACATACGAGATAGGAGGTTGCAAACTTGCGATTGATTAGAGGACTTGCGATTGATTAATCTCAACTCTTTGTAAGACAGGGCCCAGATTAGAATATATATATTCAGAGTATCACCTACCTGGGCATGATAGAGACCCAAACATTTGACTTTATGTAATGGGATGAGAACCTTGATAAGGAACTGCTTGTGTTCTGTCTTCAGTGGCAGTGCAAACCCGTTGATAATGCTAGATGAAAAGAAAAGAGAAATAATCACTGGTTAAACATGAAAAAAACTTGATGTCAAATATGAATAACGAGTAACAACTGAAATCAAATTAAATAGAGTAGATCAATTTTCACCCCCATGGAAACCTTTTATTTTCTATTGTTGACTTCAAAGAATCAAAGGGAGGGGAGGGGGGGGGGGTAATCATATTTCTTGGAAATAATATTCTCACAAAAAGTAATACAAGAATCTTTGTATACAACATAACTTTAAACAATTAATACTATTGGTTTATGAAAAATGTTATAATATACATTTCTAAAATGTATCTGTAATATAATACAATTTATTTTGGGTTTTGTTAGAACACATTCTAAAAATACAGGTTTAAAAATAGAACTGAAATAAGTAAACTTGAGTATGACTGAAAATTTAAAATGCTGCATGTGCATCAAAGTTCAGTCATCCATTCTTATCTGAAGAACAAAATATATGAATGCCAGTACAAACAATATGGAATTTAGCAAGAAACTGACAAACAAATAAATAATACAGATGTACATGTAAAATGAGAATGTTACAGTCAGCAGTAATGCATTGAATAGGAGAGAATCCCAAAAGCTTTTGAAGCCTAGAGTTTAAACTAGAAATATACTAACCTGCATAACTAGCTGAGCAACCAAATGTTTTTCATGTGCAATGTAAAGTTAATATACAACACAAATACCACAAGATATTTACATCACAGCTTTAACATATTTGTATGTAATGGCAAAGATTAGCATTCGTCTTATTAGTGCAAATTGACTGCTCATAAATTAACTTTATTTTAGTTCAGTACTATTTTAGTACATATTTTCATTAATTCTTATACAAGCTGGAAAGAAGGTCCCTAGATAGAAATGAATCTAATGTATTTTTAAACAGCTAGGAAATTATATATTTTTTCTCTTTCCAGTGCACACATCAATGCATAATAAATCAGCACTGGCTATGTATTTTGATAGCACATGCATTAAGGCTGAATGGCCATGCAATATTGCCATAAATGAGCATATTTTCACTGCGCCGGGGTAATAAACAGAGCTAATGCATTCTAGCAGGTTGTGCGTAATGCTTGTTCGAGCATATCCTATTGGAATCGCAATACTGCCGGTAATCTCGGAGCATACATCATCATTTAACTGAGACGCATGCTGATGGATGAAATCCCAAACGTTGGGGTATGCAGAGAGCAGCCAGCTCACTTGTACGGTCAACAAGTCAAGACTGTGCAAGGGGGCACACATGAGAGTAAGACAAGTAATCAAAGCTTTGTCTGTGCATACACAGTGCAGAGGCATCCCCCCTTGCTTTGCCTTCATTCAATTATGCGACCGACAAGCGTGAGCCCAGTAATGGGTGTCCGTTTTCCAATGTGATGAATCGGACTGTCTACCAGCAATGCTGCTTAGGCTGCTTTCTTTCTCCTTCCTGGCCAGCCAAGCTGCCTTCAACTGCCCCAGGGCCCCTGGATGGCTGCATAGTACAAGTCTACTTTATGAGACAGAACCTTTGCTCTTTCCTTGCACCTGTCCTATGAACACGTAGCACTGAACCCTTACCATTAGGCAAGCATTTGGGCTCATTAAAGGGATTATAGAAGCAATCTTTCCAGGATGACATATGTTAATCAAGAGATGTGCATGCTGGGTAAACCTATTTAGATTAATTAGCCAAGTGATCTATAGGTCACAAGAACAGGAAAATGCATGTTGACCTCTTGATCTAAATATGTATCATTTATTTAATAATCATTATTACCCCTATTTTCTGCATTCGGCTCAGGTTGTATTAATATTATGAGCAAGCGCAACTTCATTTGTATGCATATTATTCTAGCAGGCTGTGATGTCATGAGCATACATTAACAATGATGACCTGCATGATTCTTATGTGCGGAGCTATGTATGATGCAGGAAGGTTGGACCAAAAATGATTAAAAATGTTAAAAAGTAACAATAGACAATTAGACATGTTAATATAAATTTGTAAATGTACACCCTTGGACCTCATACAACATCAATAATGGTCATTCAACATCAATTTCAAGTACTTACCTTCCCAGAATTTCTAATAATTCCCCAACTCCATTAAAGTGCTCTGTTTCATAAATAAATCTGCAAAAGAAAGAAAAACAAAATGTGAAATACAATATGTGTATATTATAACGAAACTTATATGAAATATAACTTCACACTATTCTTTTTTTCACAGGAGCTCGGATAGAAATTTGAAAGTCTGCATGCACAAACCCTATATTTAATTTTCTAAAATGATGGTGGTTTGAAATTACGCTAGAGGGCCGATGTGCATCAAATCTCTGTAATATAATAATTATTACTATTATTATCATTTAAAGTCAAGCCTTCCATGAACAAATAGAGAGTTCACTATTATAACAATTGAATATGATACAAGAAAAAATAAAACACGAGAGAGCATAACAAATTGACATGCTTCAAAATATCACCCTGCTTGATATCATCATACTTCAATGGAATGACAGATGATAAGGTCATTGCTAATTAGTGCACAGAAACCATTACAACACATGTATCAGTTGCATGAAATACAATCCAATTTCTAGCTGCAGAAATCACTACAGGTATGTCTATAATATATTGACAGCATGAGAATTACGTCTCTTTTTGTCTAAAATGGTGTAAAATTTGTACTTTTACTTTTGGCAGAGATGCTACACCAATCCCATTACGCATCTTTACTTTATCTTGTCTGTCATAACTTGTTGGTTCAGAAATGCTGAACAAACAACAATTCATTACATATGCTGCAGCATTTATGGACATTACATATTACATAATCTAATCATCTTTGTCATGCATTTTGTAGGCCCTAAATTATATAAAGGGGAAGTCTACCTGGACATTAAAGACATATTGAATAGACCAAACAATTGAAAGTAATACTACATCACTATTACTAATAATTAATATCAATAATAATTTTAATAACAGTAATACTATTGTCATCAGTGTGATTCCTAAGGATCACTTTCCTGAGGATACAAAGAGCTGAAAACTATAATTTCTCCATCTCAAGCTAGGATTCCATGACAAGCTTTAAAGCCTTTTTTTTTTAAGAAGTAAATTTTTGAGAAATTTCAATAATGAATTATTAAATAAGAACGTTCTGAAGATTATAAATTGTAGTCGAAACAAACTGCAATCAGCAATCTACACGCATTTTTTTTCAAGCAACACTTAAAATCTTCTCTGCACAAAGGAAGAAAATACATGTAAGTATGACAAATATCATTCTTTATTACTTATGAAAGACTAGATATTCACTCTTGAAGGTGTTTAAGAATCGATGTTCAATGATATGTCTAGGACACATTTCTCTGTACATGTATATGTATTTAGACAAGTATAAGGTTAGAGTTAAAGGTAAAGACCAGTATTGGAAACGCCCCAATTTCAAAAAATGAAATGGAAGCTCTCATTACCAATCATGTGAAAGAATATGTTTTGACTAATACATGCGGTTTCCCGGCAAATTTTTTATCATCAGATGATAAAAAATTTGCCGGGAAACCGCCTAATAATTCATATATTTGATAAATTTGTTTCTCTCATGGTCTGTGAGAGATATAGGGTAGTCCCATATACATCTTTCTGTGTATAGTGCTTGTAACTTTACGAAGAATGGGCCAAATTTCTTATCATTTTGATGATTCCAGAACCTTGTAGATGCTAGATGCTAGATGATCAACCTTTTCTGATCGATTCCACAACGTTTCTTTCACAATGCAATCGCATGACCATAACTGGTCTTTACCTTTAAGGCAGCAATATTAACCTTAGGGTAAGGGTTAGTAAACTGTATGTGATGACCCTGGAGCTATTGTTGTGGAGTTTTTTTCATACCATTTCATTCTTACACTCAAAGACAAACCCACATCCATTCAGCAGGTATTATATGTAGGGTAGAAGTCTTGGGAACTGATAGCTGAAGACGGGGGAAGGCATCTATAGAACAATGATGCCTATAGATGCCCGTTGCCTTGGATACTAACAAATTCACTCTGAATACCACACATACACCTGATCCATTAGAAACGAGATACATGGCAGTGCATTTCCTCAGGTACAGAGAGCAAACAAAGCAAGACTCCCAGGTACTCCTGGTCAACTATTTCACATACGAATGCCACTGAATAAAACACACATGTACGGAGTAAGAGAGTCACTCCGTGAAATTGTACACCCTCTAACATGTACACATCAAGTCTGGTACAAGTACATGAAGTTAGCATGGATTCTGTTCAGTACACGTACATGAACATGTATGTTTGCTTACTGCACAGTGAATGGGGATTTCATGCGCACAGACATTTGTAAGTTGTTTACTAATTGACATGGAAATGGAAATGTAGATCCTGAATCAATTCAATTTATTTTATAGCCATGTGATACATGGTTTTCATACATATTTTTAGAAGCTTGTTTCCATTTGATTATAAAACCTTAACCTGGAGGTCCCTGGTTCAAAACCAAGTCAATGCTCTGTGCCATTTGGTAAGGCATTAATCCTCATTACCAAGTCCCTAAAGCTATAAAAGAGGACTTAAAGCTGTTGGTCCTGTGGTTGTTTACTTACAAGCACATACATAATTATTTAGCAGTCAGGTAAAACAATCATCATCAAAAGCCACTTTCCCAACTTAAAGTTGATACTCTAAGACAATCCCAAATACTGAGATAATTACATAAATAGAAAGCTTTTAACCCCCATCATAACACCAAATGGTGTCCACCCGACAAAACAAGTTTAGAATAATGAATTTATTCGAGTAAACTCTACCAAAATATCTAAGTCTGAAACCCGGAAGTGCACGTAGAGTCGGGCCTCTATCCGTGACGTCACGAACGGGAGTCATGGGCTCAGTGAGAGTGAATGGCAGTGATATCCCTACGTAAATGCTATCCTGTCAGAGCTTAGATTTGTTGTTGTTAAGGAGTATATTTGATGGATTTTCTGTTTTCATTTGAATGAAGAATAACGAAGCAACATTTTCCAGTCGCTGATTTCTTTTTATATCCTCATATTCACCTATTTGGTAGAGATTTAAGACGAGTTTACTGCTTAGGAATTAAAGTTAAATCGTGCACGTATGAATAGGCGGATGCATTATATTGTCATCAGATAAGGTACAGGAGCAGTTTTGTAAAACGAATAGGTCTAGAACTATGATAGTAATTATCATAGATGTGTGTGACTGCCTCAAAAAAGGATACAGTACGAGTTAAACTTTTTATGTGGCAAAATATCAAACTTGAACGAGATCATGCAAGCGCGCTTCTTCTATAATATTTTGGCGAGTGATGCGGCTCTTGCATGAACATTCGTGAAGCGAGCAGAATCGGGAGGAATACCAAGCCGCTGCTCTAGGCGCTGCTTGCTTGTGATGGAACGTACGTGCGCTAGTTATATGTTTATCGGCAATTGCAAGAGAATGAAAGCGACGTTTCCAGCTAAGAAAAACAACTAACAAAGACTTGCTCCTGGCTACCGGTGTCAGAATTGGTAGATGAAGGATCTTCAGGGTCAAGGAAGGCGAAAGACATGGAAAAAAGGAAGAAGAAACCATCGGGAGATCGCTGTAGTGTATGGTAATGAACTGTGCATGGGTAGACAGCTACTGTTCACTCCGTGCCTGCATGGGCCGATTTCAACACCAAAACAAAAATTACATGGTGAAAATATCGACTAATAGCACATCGTTGGCATGTATATGTCATAATTTTTAAAAGGGGAATTGATATTAATACTATGAAGTACTAGGGTAAGGTAAAGAATTGTACATAGAATTATGATTTATTAGACTTTTCAGCCTTTGAAACAAAAATATGCAGAAAATCGTATCACTCTGCACATGTTTGCTATGGAACATCCGGGTACGTGAATATACTCTCTCCCGGACGTGAGGTCATAAATAGTAGACCAGCGCCGTGACTGATTTTCTATGCAAAGAGAGGCGGATATTTTCAACATTTCAATTGAGGATTTCGAGTAGACAGAATTTTTTTGTGATTTACTAAGTAATTGAAAAACTTAAAAATAACATATACTTGCCGTAGGTAACAAATTAAGGGACATTTATTTGCTTAGAGTATCAACTTTAAAGGATTTTATGATAGCATGATGTAAGAAAAGCTTCATTCATTGAAGCTATTTACATTGTACACTACTCACATCGTATGAGCTTACCTCAATACCCTAATTAATGGTGTATTAACTGCACCTTTTTCAAAGTCAGGGGTGCGGCTTATACACGGTACACCCAAAAAAAAAAACCCCAAAATATTAAAGTTTTGATTTATGCCCCTCCACCTGGCGCTATGCCTGGCAATGTCTCCCAGCTCAGTAATCGGTGTGTTGACTCACCATTTGGAAACTAGAACAACACTCAAATTTGTGTGTCATCTTGGTTTGAAAGTAATCTTTCTGATAGATCTCAATATGTAGTTTATAATAATAATTCCTCCAAATTTTCTTCTATCACATGGCGTACCACAAGGTTCTATCCTAGGTCCTCTACTGTTTTTTAATTTACATTAATGATCTGACACATTCAGCTGCACCTCGCAGTTAAATGAAAGGCCTTCCCGCATGGTTTTTTGTAACACGGACCTGGCTTGCTGCCGACAGATTCGGCCAAAAAAAAAAATAAATAAATAAATAAATTAGGGCGAAAAAGAGGGGTGCGGTTAATACGCGAGGGCGGTTTATACACCGTTAATTATGGTAATTATAAATTCACTGCTTTTTCCTTAAAAACGTACAGATAATACACAACAATATTGCAACAGGTGCTACATATTGTAGTATTCATATAATACTAAGATTAACCTTAAGAAATTTCTACGTATGAAATCATTCATGTAATAAATTCTTTAAAAAATATTCATGAATAAATCATTCAGATTTATGCAAATACTTCAAGTAGTTAAAAATTTAGGTAACAAGAATAAGCTAGAGAAATGTCCACATACAAAATTATTCATGTGATAAACTCTAAAAAATGTTCATGCGGCAGTATTTTTTTAATGTAAATAATTTAATTTTTGAAAATAATTTGCATTGTGCGTCAGAATACATGTATTTCTTTGCTCTTGAAAACATTTTAATCATACATTTCCTTAGGTCTTATTTGTACTTTTCAGTAAACTTAAATTTTTGCATTACATAATAATCCCAACCCTCTACAATATTATTTTTGTTTTTTGTAAGGAGGTTGTAGACACACACAAATGATGCAATCAAATTGAGAAATGAGTAAGAGCATAGATTTCACAGTCTATCACTATTTCCATTTATCCATATATGTACGGTACATGTACTACCGAACTGAGTGAAAAAAGACACTTTACTACATGTACACATGACACCTTTATATGTAATAGTAATATTGATTTTGAGTTGAAGGTCTATGAAAAGCCTCGACATTACATAGAGCAAGCACTCCCCTTGAGACTTCTAATGCAGTTATTTTGGTTGTTTCTCCTCCACTAGTAATTAACAAAGCCATTTGCTTTTAATAACAACACGTCAAATTCCCTGAGTGAGGAATGACATTTCTCTCACTCTCAAATAAAAATCACGAGATGCATCATAATTTTAGAGCTGCACAAAAGAGGCACTCAAGCAAAATGATGTATACTGTGAAAACATATATACAGTCACATTAATAACTCAATACAACAGGCATCTAACCACAGACAGTGCATCTAGAAGAGTGGGCACTTCAAGGGGTTTTATAAGACTTCATTGGCAGCAACATAATTTCCACCACTACAGTTGTGCACCATAATGTTTCAGATATAAATTTGTTGGTCAATGTACTTGTAGGCTAAATTCATGGAATACTTCCTCAAATTTGTTCAGCTCTATTTGTCAGTACCTGGGATTAGCACACTTTTGTGATTTACCCCACGTTCAGACTACAATCCTTGTATACATGTAGCTACACTCAACATCGTCAAAGAAACGTTCTATAGAGAAACACATGTTTGAGCATAGTTTCTAATGAAAACTGGATATAAAATCAGGATCCCATTCTACCCTGAACGTCATATCGGACAAAAATCGTATAACTGGGCGGGGCTTCTCATGAGCATGCACTCATGATTGGCCAGCTTTTATGCCAATCTACCTCTTCAAAATTAGTTTCTATATTATGTTGTTGTTTAGACTGTACGCTCCTTTCATTAGATGATGTTTCTTTATTACGAGTTTGGTATATATTGCCTAGAGTCAGAACAGGCTTCTAGTCACCAATCTATTTATACAATCACCACAATCATCTGCCAAAAATACTCCTCCTTTTCCCTCTTTCCCATCATTATTTTCCTGACTAGTAACATCTCTGTAACCTGATCCACAAAATACAAGTTTGACTATGCAAGCCAGAGGATAATCTTACAGATTGCACATTTGAATCAACAGCAACAAAATAATGCATTTTCATTCTGTAGGCCCCCCCCCCCCCTCCACAACCTATTTTTGTTGGGAGTGGAATTTTGTGATTTCCTAGTTCCTAGTTACGCAGGAATATGAGTCCTGTCTCATTATCTTCATAATGCAATTGATCTTGAAGCCTAAAGGCTGTTGAAATGTTAATTTATTGTGATTATATGTGATTTCTACTGGGTTTGATTTCAATCATGTTTTAATGTCTATACAGGGTAGGACAACTTGCTGAGGTAATACATACAGGTACATTAACATATGACAGAACAACAGTAATAGATATAAATGAATGGCAACAGAAGTAAAATAATTACTAAATTTGTGATTTTATTTCGTCATATTTAGGATCAAATGGACAAATATCTTTAAAAAAGGTGAAATTCTACTTCTGTCTGGTTATATGGAATACATGCCGAATTGTTGCTTTCTTTGGCTAGGAATTGGGTCACTTTATTTGGTCCGACCATATCTCTACTAATTATATCTACCTTGACAGGCCTTCTCTCCAATAAAAATATGCAAACTGATTTTACAATTGATTTGACCTGTTAAAACCTCGATCAGCAAATTTGATATGTAGAAGAGTGTGGGGCTGGTCCCTTCATTATTGCTACATACTGTATATCAGATTATAATATATCACAATGAAAGCTTTAAGCGCGTCTCATCAACACATCAGTAAAAAACATGAATTAATGTCCTTTTAGCCCTTCCATGAGTAGCACACAGCACACGTATGATCAATACCACGGAGCAGCTGCTTCTATCAACCAAAAACATTTCAAAACCAGAATATTGATCTGGGTTCCATTTTTACAGAGATATACATGTATATATATATATATATATATATATATATATATATGCTGGTTGCTACTGACAACATTTTACCCCAAAACAATGAATGAATTTCCCTCTGCTTGTTCAGTTATCATGAGGATAATTTTGTTTTCTATCAAGTAATACCTTTTGAGAAGCAGGTGGCTGATCGAGCTGATTAAGACATAATTGTAGGCTGACATAATCATGCTTGTTATACTGATACAGATAAAATGTGCTCTATGTATAGAGAGGTTGGGTTAGACTTCATTGAGAAGAAAATATAATGAACAAATTTTTGCTTTTAACTTTTATAAAGTAACACTGCTTTCCTTTTCCTTTCTGACTTCACCTGTCTTGTACAGCATAGTATTAGCATAGTATTACCATGGTGATAAAATTCACACAGAAGCAAGAGAAATGAGTGTATAGTAAAAACATGTCCACAGATACCATCAATAGGAAAACAGGAAAACAAAAAAGTTGACAAGTTCTTTAACACGTATTTGACTACCATAGGGAGGTGGCTTATAAAACAGGTCTGACTGTATCTTTCTTCTCACCTGAGGAATATGTGGTTGATCTGTTTTCTGATGAACGCCCTGAGGCCAAGGAACTTGCCATAGATTCGATGCAACACTGTCTTGAGGAAGTCTCTCTCTCTGGGATCCTCGCTGTCAAACAGCTCCAGCAGCTGAAATACAAGGATATCACGAAAAGGCATATTATTCCTCACTCTTGACAGTTGAGCATTTCAAACGGGGGAAGGGAATTCTACCATTTGCGCAGATGGCTTCACCAATTCATCTACAATTGTAATTTCATGGAACAGAGAGTAAAAGGCAGACATTGAAGAGAGCATGACTTTTGTGGTACTGTACTGTACATATATTATGTTTGTTACCTCTGCATAATTATACAATAGCCTTGCACATTTTCACTGCCTGAAGTATCTTGAAGCTACTCAATATTCAACATTATTTAGATTTCATTGCTTATTCTCAAGACATAAAGACAGAAGTCCTTATCAAACACATCACTATTTCTTTTTAAAAAACTTGCATGACACAATAAAAGCTGATGAATATTATCAGCTACATGTATATCAATAGCTACTGCAGATCAGTAATGACCATTGAGAAAAATTCAAATAAATATACATAGCCACAGGGAAAAATGAGAGGGAAAAAGCAGAGAATAGGAATTAAATTGACCAGACCAAGGTCAGCGCTAGCATCACATACAAATGGCTTCAGGCAGTAGTATATAGCTTGCATGACATTTCCACTGACTGCACAAACAATATTGGCATTCAATAAACTGATGCCACTATACAAAAGAAACCTGACCGTCTTTCATCTGCCATTATATTCACGTATTGTACTGACAATTGGAATGACATATAGTCTACAATACACCGAAAGATATTGCACTTATGAATAAATATGTAACTATGCAATCTTCCACTGTCATTCTGTTTTCAATATTGAAGAAGCCATTGATGCACTTATAATAGGGTAACCACATATTATATCTCTCGTTCACTACTGTGTACGAGATTGTGTTGACATAAGACGATAATGGGGGTTCACCTAGACTTTGATCTCCACTCATTTGTGTGTTTGATATACTTTAAAATAGTACAGTCATTGAGGCAAATATTTGTATCCAGTACAGCAGAAATATTGTAATGTAAACATGCATGTCCACTCTCCTTAGCTCTGGGCTTTGATGAATCATTCTGTGCATTTTTCTCACATCTCTATTCCATTGGCCTTACATTATCAAGGAAATAAACAAAGAACAAGTCTCTGTCTCTCTGTTTATCCCTCTGTCTGTCTGTATCTGTATCTGTATCTGTCTCTGTTTCTCTCTCTCTCTCTCTCTCTCTCTCTCTCTCTCTCTCTCTCTCTCTCTCTCTCTCTCTCACACACACACACACATCCAACTGACAGATCATTAGAGGACCGAACACTCAAACCTCATTTACAAATGACATAATAAGTGGCCATAATAATGGTATGGTAGTGAGAAAAAAATACACAGGAGTGACCAATTAAGCTCTGGTAAAAAAAAACAACAACAACAAACATGGAAAAACAAAGAAACCTATAAAAAATCATAAAGAAAGTATGCACAGTGGCCTTTGTTGTGTACAGCTATTTTTAAATATTTTTGTATAACCTCCACTTGCTGTTCATTTGCATGAAAATTGTTTTATTTTACTGTGGCTTCTATTATTCCAGGTGGTTTATTGTGTCATTTTCAAATGACGCTTCTGTAATTTTGTGGGATTTTACTTTAGACAGTCATCTTACTAACAGACACAAAACAGAAATAAAAGGTAGTAAAATCTTATTTAGTCTTACGTGCATCACAAATTTCTGATCGATGTACTTCTTGGCTATGCTGGGTTGGAATTCTGGTGACTCTAAAAACCTCAGGAAGAATTCGTATACAAGCTGCAAGGTACATGAAAAAGAACAAGTGAGAAAATAAGAAAAGAAAATAAACAGTGGTATTTGACCTGCATATTTACACTGCTCTTTTTATCATGCCTGAATCCCCATAAATTCATGATTTAAGATTTGTAATTTCAAGCAAACTTAAAAGATTTACTTTACTATCGGTACATGCAATTCTTTTATTGTTGCAATCTTAAGATTCAATTACCAGTTAATGAATGACCACACAGTGTATTGCATCATTTAGTTCCTTTGGACCTGGACTGTAGCAATGCCACCAGCTTAATTTCATGCCCATTTTCCCCGACCCTCATTTCCCTAGGAACCACTCAAAATGGCATCTGGGAATGTACTTTAACAAAGTTCAAGCGTAGAGTGCATTGAACTCTGACCTTTTAGTTTCATGGCAAAACTATCACTTCTATGCCTTTAAAGAAATATTTCCATTAAAGCACACATACAATAAAAGAACATATGGATTTAGAATTCATAGAGTGAGGTATAAAGTACATTGCCCTATCCCTGTGTTTGTATACATACATACAGTATACATGGATGTAGGTAAACTTGATTCTGGTAATGACTAATTATATCAAATTCTTAAGAAATCAACCCAACTTATATGACATGTTCAAGCCAAAACAAAAAATGGGAAAAGAAAGATAAGGAAATTGAGCTTATGTTACATTGTAGCTCAAATCCCCCTGTATATCAAGTGGTCTATATTTATTATGCGCATTATACATGTGATTTTCAGCAAATGTGACTTTTTGCTTTAAACAAATTAATTTTTCTTTTTCTCTGTTCCTATTTGTTCATATTTCTACTGGTTTAAACAACCAATCCATTGTATGAGGAAAACAAACAATTCAGAAGTATTCAAAACCAGTTTCCTTTGAAATGCAAGATCCCCATTACCATTTAAGATTAGCAATCTAAACTTATGGTCATCTTAACATAATACACACACTGAGAACAAGGATTGGGCAATTTTAGTAATGTTTTGAAAACTGTGAATACAACATAATATATGAAAATGAATAAAGACAAGCTTCAATTTTTTTAGACTAATCATGTACAACATTTAAAAAAAAAACTAGAAACCCCCATACTCCAAATATTTTCCCTTCACAAATACCTTTGATGAAAAAAGAAATGGAACATGCTATTTGCACTGTTCTACATGTAAATACTTTAATTAGACAAGATCAATCCAAAAATCCTGGAACACAACTTATCCACCATGTGGTCATTGTAAATTGACATTGGATATTTTTATTTACCTGTAAGTGAGGCCATGATGCTTCTAGCGTTGGGTCGTCTTCTTCTGGATCGAAATCTGAGTTTTCACTGGGCGGCAATGTTCTGAAGATATTACATGAGATCTAAGAAAAGATGAAGAAAAGATGAAGAAAAAAAGAAAGAAGGAAATCAAATCAAAAGCTACAGATAAACATCCAGGCATCAAACTTAATCTTATACTGTTTCAAGAGCATGTTATGCAAGAAGATGCTTCACAATCACATGTAATTAACCAAGAGATCTTGATTAATGACATCTCTCATGTTACTGTATATTAGTACTGTATCTGTTATCACTTTAAAGGCTCGTTCAGATATCATGCGGTAAATCACTGCAAAAGACAGCACATTTTTGTTCTACACTTACATGTAAATAAAATGATAAATGGCAACTACACGTAACCAAGGTCCTGCGCATATTCGCTGAGCTCTGTGTTACAAGATACAGAAATTTGACGTGCCATAACATTTTTGTAGTCTTTAAAAAACAAAATTGCTGCAGTTTTGCCGCGTCAAATCTGAACGAGGCTTAAGCCCGATTATTTCCCTTTGCAAAAATGGCCCAGACATCTCAATCTGTTATAATTATGCTATCGAGGAGATATGATGTACAGAAGAATATGGGGCTACTGTACATGTAGGTCCAAAGTGAATTCCTGAAGAGAGCATTGTTATTCTCTGTGTAGTCTGACTAGTCTCTGTTTTGAACCTGCATAGAGAAGGTCATAGGCTGATGTATTAGTGTAATCAAATAACCTGTGTTAGTATGCAACAAATGAACTGATTAGTCTATGATTACCTGATACAAGTCATGTGTTTTTTTATTTTGCAAATTGGGAATTTTGTATTTATTCCATTGTGTGTTCATCCTGTTTTCAGGTTGTTTTTCTCCTGCATGCATGATGTGTCATTATATTTATTATTTTTCCACCTTGAATTGTCCTGTGTATTCAGGCAGAAGCCTAGGCTTGAATGTTCCTTTTTACATTCTCTTGTTATTTCTAATAAATAGAGTATGTTATTTAAAAAAAGATAAAAAAAGAAACTTCTACTGAAAAGTATTTGTATTTGTAAGGGATTTTTTTCTAATGAGATCAAATATGATAATAATGCAGTAAGCACTGCACTTTATAAGCACTGCTTTTATTAATATTATTATTATTATTAAAACAGTTCCAGTCAAGCTCAATATTCTCCATTCAGTGTTGACAAGTCTACATGTCCAGTTTAATCAACATTTCTACTTTCACCAAATTGGTAAACACGATTGCCATTTCACATTTTGCTTTTGAAATATAATAGTGAACTTCAGTGTGAGAGGTCCATCGGTCTCTAGCTACAAAATACGTGTGTTTACAATACAATGCTCATAACCAGGAAGTCAATGTGAAAAATTGAGAATTCTGTATGTGCATGTAAAGGGAACCAATGTACATTTGTAGTCAGTATTGTACATGTACTGTACATCACTTGCATGCATGTACAATGTACAATTAAATCATAATTGTGCACATACCGAAAAGGAAAACAACATTTTATTTCATTATGAACAAATTCCACATCAACATATCAAATGTTATACAATGATCCCCCCCCCCCCCCCACCTCCAAGGCCAAATAACAACAGCTACATGTACACTGTAATGCACACAAAGTAACATTCTGCAAAGGAAATGTACATGTATGTCTTCACTTTAAGAGCCAACTGATGTCAAATTTCAGTGGTACTTCATATCATGTTAAACAACTAAAATTCCTCAAATGACATGTTGGTGCTCAATATAGCTTTGGTGGAATTTCAATTGTCAATTTGATTGTCCGTCTAGATATGTACATACATGTACACTACGGGTTTGGCAGTTAGCCTCCCACTAAGTCTGGTATGCTCACTATAACAAGGATGACAAGGCACCTTTCACAAATCAAACTACATTGTAAACTGTGTATTTAAACATACATCATGATGTGTACATGACGGCCTAAATGTAATAAATTGAAATCAAGGTCTATCAATAGAGGCTTTTAAGTGGATATGCACGCATGCAAATGACACTTCAGGACATGCTGGTACACAAACAAGGTCAATGGCATATACATGTAGTTACATGTAGTGCTGGGATTTAGAGAAATATGCCTGGACTGGAAACCCCCCCCCCCCCCCCCCAACAAAAACAAAAACAAAACAAAAAACAAAAAAATGTATTTCTAATAAGTATACATGTAATCATGTAGTATATATGGAAATGTTCTTCTACCCACAGGGTTCTGGTCTAACTTATGTTTAGAATACCTGCCTTAAAACTCAAGGTAGTCTACCTTGTATACTATAGTCTTGTGACAAATTTACCATTTTTTTTAAATTTGAATATTCATCCAAATTGGCATAAACCACTTCCATTAATGAATATACTAATGCCTACCATGTTAGAAGCCTAACTCTGGCTGAAGTGTGTAAGGCTGAATTTCTTTCTGAGTTGACCTTTCTTATGACTCCTTACATGTACAGTAGTAACATGTCCTTACTCCAAAGGTTAATAATTCCAAGGGTTTGCATTTCTGAAAAGGAAGTAGGGTTCATAATGCCAAAAATGTCATCAAGCCCTTTTTCTGAATTTTGAACCTTCAGAAAAATAAACCCTATTTCATGCTTGGCATTACAAACCTTCGGAATAATGAACCCTGTTCACAATATATGAAACCTTAGGATATATAAACCTTAAGAATAACAAAACACATTTTTGGAATTATAAACCCACTGGTATGTAAAATTTGTGTTTCGGAATTATGAACCTTTGCAGAAAAAAGGACTCAGAAAAATGAGTGCTCCCCTTCCTGGCTGCGAAGGAAGAGGAACCCATGGGCATGGTAAGATGGGGAGAACTACATCTTGTGACTAGCTTGTTTTATCAGTTACGGAGAGGCAATTTATCAAAAAATTGAAAATCCTATGGCATTATTTCTATTTTGTTACATAGAGTAATTTGGTGAGACCACTAGACTTGTAAAGCTTGTACCATGGAAAAACTTACCATTTGAATGCATTCTGGATATAGGGGTTCTGTGAGGACTCCCCTCCCAGTAGTGATGTAATCCACTAGCTCATTGAGGCTTGCTCGTTTGATCTCCTTGCCTCGCAGCTCAGATACAGCATCCATAAAGTCGAACACCATGCAGCACTGTTCTAGCTTCTTGACAACCAATTCTTGCTGTTCTGGAGGGGGTGTATCTGTGTTGAAAGAGATCAGAAGGAAAGATAGTGGGCGATAATTTGATGCAACCGTAATACATAAGACTGATAATTGATGTACAGTAACCATAATATCACAAACACTGTAGCAGAGAAATATCAGAGTGACCATCACATGACCTCATTAAATGGGAGCTCTCAATAACTCCAAATCAGCTCTGGTAAACAAGAAATATTACATGTACTGTACATGATATGCAAATCACAGTGAGGAAATACTTAGTACATTGGTGAATCCTAAAACTGCTCTGGTGAACAAAAGATGCAGGGATACAGCATTGTCTTCACATCTCAAACTAACACTCTGAAGCACCAAATTGTCAACAGAATTGCAGAAAATGTCCCAAAATATCTTCTTCTTTTTTCGCGGAGTACAGGTAGGATTTAAATATCATCTTTTTACGGAATCCAGGTATGATCTATTCATGATAAATCTATACAATTATGGTCCTTCTTCACCCCATTTCTACTTCAGTTTCAAGCATGATGTTACCAGAAACGTGTAGTATGGGAAGCCCAGGTGATCAGAAGACATGCTGTCCAGACCATACCACCCCATGTGAAAGTATGATGGATGTTTAAAGGCAGCAGCAGTTCTCAATATGCTGTGCCTGGGAAAGGGCAACACCTCAAGCATGTCCTCTCAATAATACAGTTTCTAAATCAGGACACACTGATGAAAGTCAATTTCACTGAGGGAATTAGCAGGTGGTAGTCTGATCACTCGGAAGATATTTGCAGGGATGATGGCTTAATCCAGCTATTCTCTCCTAGCAACATCCACTCTATAATGAAATTTCTAACACATTGGCTCAGCTAAACAGCACACCATATACATTGTTCTTATGGGTCACCATAGTGTAACATTTTTGTTTCACAATAAATCAATTATAGTGTCGTCTGAATGTACAATGCAGGGTGGTCCAAAAGGGGTTTCAACATGCAACAGCGACAGGTTTGAAAATCAGTGACATGTTAAAAATTCATTCTCAACCAAAATTAGTTCTGATATAGCACCGGTAGTCATAAATTTGTTTAAAATGATCCAAAATATGGCTCAGATTGGACCAGAGAGCATTTGAATCGTAGGGCCTTGAAGTTAGCCCCTAGAAGTGAGCCCCTAGAAGTGAGCCCCTGGACACCGGCAACTGGAGAATTTGCGTTTTGCACACATTCCAAGTTTCAGGTTTACAGTGTGCATGAATACATGTCTGAGAGTGAAAGAAAGGCCAAAGAATTCAGTCTCAGACGCTTTGCATTGGAGTTTGGTTATTTTATTTTGAAGGCTACAAAACAGCCCCGCCCACACTATATAAAAAAAGGCTTGACTTCAACGTACGCCCTTGTACATGCATGCAATACAGTCTTTGTGGTCATGTAACTCAATTGCCCACTATGCGCGTGCACCACTTGTGATTTCTCTGCAGTAATGTCTTCTCCAGTAATCTCAAAGCTGTCACCTCCTGCAACCGAACCCAAGCCCAGGTCATCGTCCAGCGTGCACTCAAGCCATTGCAAGATAGGCATGAGTGCACACTGAACAATAGCCTGCACCAAACCCAGGTCCAGCCACAGGAGGCAACAAATCTCACAATACTACATATCATAAAATACTTTCAGATTGTTGCTAGGTTGCTGGTATATAGACCAACTTGTATTTTAACATTATGCATGTATGTTTGTATTTTAGCACAATATGATCTTGTAAGGTTGTTGCTAGGTTGCTGGTATATAGACGTAATTTTATTTTAACATTATGCATGTGTAGTAATGTGAGATTGTTGCCTCCATAAGGGGGGAACAGAGAAAATGTCTTTAATGTATTTTTTTGTGTGTTTTGCAATTTTGATTTTATTGCTAAATTAATGTATTACCAGGTAATGTCATTAATTGGGGGGAAATTGTAGTATTGTGAGATTTGTTGCCTCCTGTGGCTGGACCTGGGTTTGGTGCAGGCTATTGTTCAGTGTGCACTCATACGGAAAGTTTAATTTAACAAAAAAAATATATGATGGTGGTAGTGGGAGAGCAGGATTAAAGGTAAAGACCAGTATTGGAAATGCCCCAATTTCAAAAAATGAAATGGAAGCTCTCATTACCAATCATGTGAAAGAATATGTTTTGACTAATACATGATGATAAAAAAAATTCCGGGAAACCGCCTACTAATTCATATATTTGGTAAATTTGTTTCTCTCATGGTCTGTGAGAGATATAGGGTAGTCCCATATACATCTTTCTGTGTATAGTGCTTGTAACTTTACGAAGAATGGGCTAAATTTCTTATCATTTTGATGATTCCAGAACCTTGCAGATGCTAGATGCTAGATGATCAACCTTTTCTGATCGATTCCACAACGTTTCTTTCACAGTGCAATCGCATGACCATAACTGGTCTTTACCTTTAAGTGGGAGCTTACAGTATACAATGTAATAGGGACATACTGTAACAGCAAAAGTTCCTCAGAAAGAACATGTACAACAAAAAAATGTAACATCAGTCACCATCCTCCACATGGACATGTGCAAAATTTCTAAAAGTTCTGTAAATTATTCAATCTGATTGGCAAGCACATAAAACAGCACAGCGAAATTTGCTATTTGTTTACTCACAAAGTCTGTTGCCTGCAACATTATTGGCAGACATGACTTAATGCAGGTATTCAAATCAGGATCATCCATCATACTAGTGTGTAATATGGTAATAAAATCATTAGCTGGTATCAAGATTGATGTACATGTACTCATTTGTCATAAATCACTATGAAATTCTAAAGCAATGTGAAAGCCTTGACATCTTTGGTCATTTAACAGTCATGGGGTGCATTCAAGCGATTTTCCATCAATGCTGATTCTCGTTCATTTCAAGCCCACTGTGCATCACACTGCGCAGTTTGATGCAGGAAGTACATGTATAAGTCAACTTCGGCGCGCGCTTTTTGAATTTGGTTTAGGTTGACTGTCGGCCAAACCGGAAGCAGGCCACGATAATGATGTCATAGAATCATGATTAAGATCTCTGCTGCGTTCAAGCGATTCAAGCAACTGTGATTCTGCAAAAATCACCTTACAAACACAATTTTTCAGCGTTTCATGTTTGCATTTTAAAACACGTTTATTTTACGACTGCCAAAACATTGCTTGAAATCGCTTGAACGCAACCGTGTTTTAAACTAAACATCTTGTGGGGTCTTCCGGACCTTTGACCCTGGCCCTGCCACTGAATTTGTAGTGCACGCAATTTCCAGCTAGCGAGCGATAACAATCCGGAAGTGCCGAAATTCATGTGACAAACATCACAATTTTTCAGCTGCTACCCTTTAAATTAATTTACCAAACATCACACAGACATTTAAAAAAGAAACACACACCGGCTTGGAATGTTTCTGGCTTGGCATCTTTTCCGGTTTGGCGTACATGTAGTTGCCTAGCAACTTTCACTAAAAGATCGCGGTCAGGCCCCGGTTTGGCATTTTTTGGGCATGTTTGGTTGCCAGTGTAAATGGCCCTATTGCAAAGGCGCCCAGTTGCATTGCAGAGGTGAAGTGCCTATTTATCATGTTACATCAGGGACTTGGGAGACATTGAACATTCTGTCATGAAAATTACAGTTTCTGTGAAGCATACTTGTAGGACATGTAGACCTTTGTTGACATTTTAGAGTAAATTCATTTCCTGGTGTACTACATGTACATACATTGTACATTATGACTTGTTTTTCTAGTATACAGTGTACATTCACCTACACTAATCATTTAGTATTCACAATCACTGCACATGCAAGAGGAAGGCTAAAAGCAACAATGCATGAATCAAATCTTTTGCCACAACTCAATTTTATTTTCTATGCAGTGTGCATTGTAGATAACTATTACATGAAATACATGTACATATAGTCTTTAGAATAAACAAAACGCTATTCATTACTAGTGGGGCCTTCTAGCCTTTATGAGGGGGAGTGTGTGCATTCTACTTTAGTGCCTCAGAGTATTTGCAATAGACACCAAGCATACTGCAACCAACTAAAAATAGGCTACAGTTGGCGTGTACATGTGCATAATGTACACGGGTTGTAGCCTTGTAGGCAAGTACTACATTGTACGTGCAAGCCTAGCACAGCCTCAGACAGATCGTTGAAATGAAGCTACATTGTACATCAGACCTCTTCAATCTAGTATACTGATGAAGTGGTACAACAAAAAGCCATAGATCAATAAATAGATGTGCATTCAACACATTACCATGAATTAGTGAAATTCACTACACTGATTTGAGGCACCCAATGTACATACACATTTGAAGTGTTCATGTAGGGATAGCATTTTAGTCAATTCAGTCTTCTTGGTAATAAGGACAGTAAGTATATTCTCATATAATCAAATGGAATTAATACTGAATGTTCAAGACTACAAATAAAAGATACCTGCAAAACATTTGACAGAAGATGCTTATCACGTGCAGCTGAGCATTAAGAAATTACATGTACACTGTATGTACATACATGTATTAGCCCATACTAGTTTCACTTCCTAGTGCAGTGACGTTCAAAATATTTACTCTTCCACAAGGTTCCTTTATTATTTATAACCATAAACAATTGAAATTCCATTATTCCATGCTTTGTTTTGCCATACAAATATTCAAACACAATACAAAAATATGTAGTATTGGCCATACAATGACACATAAAATATGACAGACATATAGCAAAATATCATGTGTAACTGATTCTCATACAGAGACAACACTTTTCGTAAACAGAAACCATTTTTTTCAGGAAATTCTATTCTTTAAAATTTGTTTGTGCAATAAATTTTTTAATATGACAATGCCTTTTGACACCTGACATCTACAAAATTGTAATATGATTTTTTTTTTTCTTCTTTTAACAATTGTATCTGTATATCAGGGTTTTTGCATTCAGCTGAAAATTTGTTTTCTTACAATTATTAAAATACTATAACAAGCTTTATTTTGAT